AATGCAATTTTTCCTTCTTTCAAGGGTTATGATATGATTGCTCAAGCCCAGTCTGGGACTAGACTGTTTTCTTTGCCATTTCCACTTTGCAACAGATTGAACTGGACTTAAAGGCCATAAAAACCCTGGTTTTGGCATCCACTATAGAGCTAGCCCCACAGATCCAAAATATAGTGATGATAGTAGCAGAGTACATGGATGCCTCATTCCATGCCTTCACTAGAGGAACAAACATTGGGCTAAAGTTCAGAACTTGTGGATGGAAGCTCCCCACATCATCATGGGCACCCAAGCCCATGTCTCTGACATGCTTAATCTGAAAAGCATATAACCTAGATACATCAAGAGATGTCTATACTGAATGAAGTTGATTAAATGTTAAGCTATGGTTTGAAGGACCAGGCCTATGACATATTCCAGAAACTCAGTAGCAATATTCTGGAATCAGCCACCACACCCTCAGATGTGCTAGGAATGACCAAAAAGTTTATGAGGGATCTTAAAAGGATCCTAGTCAAGAAAGAATAGTCGACAATGGAAAGCATTCATCAGTTTAACATAAATGTAAAACAAAAAAAATGGAAGTTACATGATCTATTTGAAATGTTACTGTTGTTTTTTAGTAGTGTCTGATTCTCCATGACCCCATCTTGGGGTTTTCTTGACAAATGGTTTGCCATTTCCTTCTCCAGCTCATTTTACAGATGAGGAAACTGAGGCAAACAGGGTTAAGTGACTTGCCCTGGGTCACACAGCTAGTAAGTGTCTGAGGCCAGATTTGAACTCAGGATGTGTCTTCTTGATTCCAGGCCCAGCACACTGCGCCACCTACCTACCCCACCAACTAAACAACTAAAAGATGTCTAGAGGCACAGATATGCAACAAGTATCTTTGGTTGCTATGACCTTCCCACCAACCAGAATTATATTCACAGAATTGGCTGTGAAGGTTACTTTCCTCATTAGAGTATGCCTATCAACATGGTGACAGAAGACAGGAGACTCTTGCAAGATATCAAGACCTTCTAAAATACCTCCATTGAGGAGAAACCTTTCAATGTGGCTAACCTCATCTGAAGGGCTTCTCCATCTGATCTCACCCAAGGTTCTGCTCTCTGAGATGATGGGGAACTGGAAGGGGAGGGAAGAACAAGGGATGAATACTTTTGTCATTTTTTCCTTTTTTTAAAACTTTGAACAAATGTCACTTTTTGAGGCAAAAGGAGCTATGTACCTTTACATACTCTTTTCTTTGTAGCAGGCTTATGTCTCACCCAGTGCTTTTCTTCCTCCAAAATACTAATCAACATTTCAGTGTTTCAGCCAGTCTGTTCTCTATTCCCAGCAGCCAAATACTTCCTCCCAAAATTAACGGAAAGAGTCCATGACTCTGAACACTCAACTCTCTCTCAGTTTCTGTTCAAAATTAGTCAATTGGGATAAAAAGGCTCAGTAGGCTGGCTCCTCTCCAGATAAGAGGACCAGGAGAGAAAGTAATAATTTTTGATGTTTTGAATAGTATTTATTGATTCAGAAAAAGAAAACACAAAATTCTTAATAAAATTCCTTGGAAACTGCCCCCCCCAAAAAAGACTATTAATTTATCAAATGTTTATTAAGCACCTACTAAGTACTAAGGCACTATGCTAGGTACTGAAAATACAAACACACACACACATAACACACACAAATAGATCCTGTTCTCAATGAGCTTACATTCTATTTGAAGGAAACAACAGGTATATAGAGAAGTAACCACAAAATTATGAGAGAAACAGCTCTGTGGAGGGGATTTTGGAGAGAAAAGATCAGCTCTGTTTTGGGTAAATGGAGTCTAAGATAACCATATAGTAATTAAACTATGTAAATTCACACATATAGATTAGTGTGCTAATTCCAACTCCCCTTCGCCTACTGAACAAAATACAACTCTCATCATTCAAAAATTTCTCAAAAAAAGCTTTCATGATAGCTACTTGGCTCTACCTTATCAAAGGATCACAGATCTAGAATTTGAAGTAATCTCAAAGACCATCTAGTCAAACCTTTTTATTGTGCAGATAAAAAAATCTCTGGCTGAGGGAGGCAGAGTGACTAGTCCAGTCTCTCAGTGAGGTCGTTTAAGAGGTTGAAGCTTACACCCAGGAATTCAGACTCAAGGGTCAGTGCTCTTGCCTCAGTCCCGCAATTCCTCCTTTTCCAACCTTATCTCACCTTATTCACCTTTATCTCAGACTCCCATCAATACACACTACCTGTCATTCCTCAAATACTTCTTTTCTTCATGCCTTGTAGAGGTGAGAGGTGAGCTCCTGCACGCCAACATCTCTGACAACTGACATTCCAAGTCAAACTCTACTTCATCCCTGAAGACTCCCTTGATCCTTCAGAGTTAGAAATTTTTCCTATATCCTTCAGTAGTACTTTACTCCTCTCTTACACATTTTCATATTCCATTTCTATTTTGTATTACATTTATTTATGAATATGTCTTATCCCCTGTCCCATTGGATTTTAAGTCCTTATGAAAAGGAATACTGTTGTAATAAGCATACCTACAAGGCCTAGGCTCATAGAAGGCATTCACTAAGTGTTGTTGAAGTGAATTATTCATGGGATAAGGAATTATAAAGATAACAAACTCTATCTGCAAATGAGAAAATCAAGGTTCAGATAAATTAAGTGACTTTCTCTAAGTCATACATGTAGTAAGTGGCAAAGATGAAGCTGAAACTAGGATCCTTTGATTTCAAGCCCAAGTGCTCTTTCCATTACACCAAGCCACCACATACATGTGAATTAACAGGGAGTTAGTATTCAATCCAATTGATGTTTTACACTACTTTAAAGAATACAGAAAAAAAAATGAATGTGGGGCAGCTAGGTGGATAGAGCACCAGCCATGGAGTCAGTAGGAGCTGAGTTCAAATCTGACCTCAGACACATAACACTCAACTAGCTGTGTGACGGTGGGCAAGTCACTTAACCCCACTGCCTAGCCCATTAAAAAAAAAATGAATGTAATTAGACATTAGAAGTGAAGAAATAACACTTGTATTTCTTTTAGAAAGAACTTTAATATTAAGGAAGGTAACATGTGAAGGAAAGAGAGGAACTTTCATGTTTGAGTACTTTTCAAATTGTGTTTTTCACATGAAATTAATCTTCATATGAATTTCTGGATGTTCAGTTTTTTAAACTGGCTTACCCCTACATGAAGCACTTTTAAATCCTGAACAGATCCTTCATAATACCAAGAAAAACCTCCTGAACAACTTTCAGGAGAAGGTACACACTGAATAACCTGACAAGTTTTAGATAACACCACTCAAACTCCCAGACACTAACTGGTCTAGTATGTGAACGTGGAGAAACAGCAAAATTCCCAAGTACCACAAACTTGTGACTCACCTAAGAGAAGAGATCCTCCTATGCTGCCTAGCAAAAGTGGCCTTAGGAAATCACTTGGGGAAAGAAAAAGCAAAAAACCTAGAACTATAGATCTAGAACTAGAAGTTATCAGAGGTCAACTATCTAACTTCTTCATTTTGCAGATGAGAAAAATAAGGTCCATAGAGATGGAGTGACTTGTCTAAAGTCACACAGACAGTAAAGCGACAGAGCCAGAATTCAGTAACTAAGTTCAGCACTCTTTCCCCAGCACCAACCAGACTAGGCCCCCGGGCATCCCTTGAAAACTACCTCTCACAGGAAGCAAAAACAAAAATATGGCATAGTCCTAACCTAAACCCTCATATACAATAACTAAAAAGCATGGGCCAAGATCCCAGGGTCCACCCAACACTCACACACTACAAAAAATCAAGGACCTCAAACACATATCTAGGATAGGAAGGGTCCTCAGAGGTCACAGAATCCATCTTCCCTGTTTTATACATAGGAAACAGAGGCCCAATGAGATGAAGTGACTTGTCCAAGGTCACACAGGTAGTAAGGTGACAAAAATGGAATTTGAACTCAAGTCCCATGACTGCCAAGTTCAGCGCTCTTTCTGTAACACCAAGCTGGAATTCTTAATCCTTCTCAGAGCTTCCCTGAACACCACCTCTCTGTCACAACCAGCAAAAACAAAAACAAAAACAAAAGTATTATTTAAAAGACATAGAATCCAAAAGTAAGCACAGCATCTCAAACTATTTAAAAGGCTCAAGGAACTAAACCTTCACTTACCCTATTGAAAAGCCAGGAACCTGCTTAAGGGTAGATCCAGCAATTCACACGATTTAAAAAGCAGGACCTAAACCCTCCCACTATTTAAAAGCCAAGAACCTTGATCTCTGGGTTAGATACAGCAATTAACACTATTTAAAAGACAGACCGGAAGCCTTGCAAACCTCATTTAAAAGACACCGACCTGAATCCCAGGATACATCCAAAGGTAAGGACCTAAACCCTCACTTAAGACTATTTAAAAGACATGGAGCTGACCCAGAGTAGGTTCAGCAATTCACACTATTTAAAAAGCAAGTACCTAAACCTTCACTTACAGTAGGAACAGCAATGCATACTACCTAAAAAGCAGGAGCTCCAACTTTCATACTATTTAAAAGACACAGACCTGAACCCAGTGGTAGGTGCAACTGACACTATTTAAAAGGCAGGGAGTCAAACCCTCACACTTTTTAAAAGACAGAGACCTGGCTCCTAGGGTAGATACACCAAGCCACGTGAACTAAGAGGCAGGGACCTGAACCCTCACAGACCTGGGTCCAAGGTTCATGATTGATTTTGGGTAGCTCAGAACTCTGCCCCACGCTCCCAGCCTCTCTCTCTCCCCTTCCTCAGGCCCAGCTCCAGGGATGAATGACAGCTCAGCCGGCCGGGCTCGCTCCGAGCTCTGGGGCGGGGGGCGGACCCTCGGGCGAGGGGCGTCATCCCCAGCTCAGCCCCTCCAACCCCCACTAGCCCGGGCCGGCCCGCCCTACGCCAGGCCAGAGGCAGGGGGGCCGGAGCGGGGTCCGGGAGCGGGGCTCTCTCACCAGGTACAGGGGCGCATAGATCTTCAAAGACTCCTCCAGGGCGCCCCTGGTGATCTGGATGAAGGAGACCCTGCAGGACGGGTGCCAAGTGTGGCCGATTTCATAGCAGTTGTGAGGGATTGACTTGCTGAACGCCGCCATGTCTGGAAGCACCGTCGGGGAAGGGGGGCAGGGTGGGGGCGGGGGAGAGGGCCGGAGAGAGGGAGGGAGGGAGGGGGAGGGAAACTAGAACCCAACAGCCGCCCAGCCCCGCCGGCTCGCGGAGGTGCGGAATGGAGGGGAAAGGTCACGCGAGCGGGGTTACTCTGGGCCAAAGCCCTCGGATGATGAGCGCTCGGCGTATCGCAGGGCGAGGGGGAGGAACGTGCGGAGGGGGGAGGAGGCGGAGCGTGCGCGCTCCCTCCACCCGCCCCCTCCGCGGGCGCCGGCGCGCGTGGCGTGGTCCTTACCCAGGCCCCCCCTGGCCCCGCAGGTCGTCCCTCCTCCGCCCGGGCCTGGGGAAGGAGGATGTTCGCTCGGAGCGAGATCGCTCCCCGCGCTCCCCCGCCCCCTCCGAGTTCCCTGGGAACGCCCTGCGGAAGCGCGCCTTCCTCATTCGCCGCCCCCCCCTTAGTCTGCTACGTCTGGCTGGGGTCCGTGTACGAGGGGGGAGGGGGACGGGGTGCTCCACTTCCTCTCCAGCCCCCCCCAACCCTGGTTTGGGGAGTGTAACATAAAGAGCCCTAGACCGAGAAATAAGAAGCTAGGCTTTGCCCTTTCGGATGGTCGGCCAGTCAGCATTAATTAAGTGCCTACTATGTGCCAGGCACTATGCTAAGGTTTGAGGTTACTTAGGCAAAACCTGGGCCCTGCCCTCAGGGAGCTCACAGTCAAGTGACACCACACCAACACCTGTGTACTAACAAGCTATACATAGGATGAATAAGAAGAAATAGGCAGGGCTTCTTGGAGAAGGGGGCTTTATATTGGGCTGTGAAGGAAGCCAGGGAGACCAGAAGCAGCTAAAGATGAGGAGGGAGGACAGTCAGATTTACACTGGCATGGGAGACAAGCCAGTGTAAATGCCCCAGCCCAGACGGGGGTGTCTGGTGCCAGGATGTCACTGAAACCCAGAGGGGGAGGGGGGTCGTCTAAGGTGAAAGAAAACTGATAAAGGATTGTCAATGCCAGAGGATTTTATATTTGGTCTTGGGGGTGATAGGGAGCCACAGGAGTTTATTGAGTAGAGAGATGCTTTAGGAAGATCACTCTTGACAGCTGAATGGGTAGACTACCCTCTGTAAATCTAGTTTAACCCACCCTGTTTCAAATTCCTCTTTTGTTAAATGCAGTTCGACTATGTGACTTAAGCTCTCTTCCATCTCAAAAATTTAATGAGTTGGATGCCAGTATATGGAAGGAGCTTTTCGACCCCTCCATAGGGGTTTAATTGTAGTGTGGTTTTTTTGTTTGTTTGTTTGTTTTAACGCCGCTTTTTCCAAGAACCTTTCTCTAATTTTTCCATGGCAAATGGGTAACCCCCTCAGAGTTAGTCAACAAGTATGTATTAAGCACTTACTATGTGTCAGGCACTGTGCTAAGCACTGGAGATACCAAAAAAAAAAAAAAAAAAAAACACAGGGTCTCTGGAGGAGTTCATATTGATCTTTAAAATGGAGATAATGTAGGACCAGGATTTTGTAAGGATAAAATGAGATATTTGTAAAGTGCTTTGTAAACCTTTAAGTGCTGTATAAATCTTATCTATTATTAATGGGAAACATACAAACAACTACATACAAAACTTACAAATAAGTAAAAGATAAAGTGGAGATAATCTTGGGGGGCAGGAATCAGAGTTCCAGAAAGCTCAAAAACAGCTTAAATAATACCTTGGTTTGAAACTTTTTTCACCCATCATTTAAATATCTTCAATGGCCTGTCCAGTTCAGTAGATTTTAAACTCTATGAGGGTTAGAGTAAACAGTGTCTATCATAAGATCAGATTTTAAACTGGAAGGGACCTGAGGTCATTCATCTGTTCTGCACCCTCACTTTGGATATGAAGAAATGTACCCAAAGTCGTACAGGTTTTTATAAATGATAGAGCTAGAATATGAACTCGGATTCTAAACTCTAAATCTAGTACTCCCCCTCCCCCCATCACACACTCACTCACTCTCTCTCTCTCTCTCACACACACATACACACACCCCTTTCAACAAAGACATCATCCAGCCTGTGCTTGAACAATTGCAACGATGAGGAACATTACCCTTTGAGGCAGCCATCATTGGGCTAGTAAAAGACCTGTTTGGTGGTGCATGTTTTGATTTAGTTTTTTGGTTTTTTTTTTTAAACTAAAGTTCTTGCTCTTGTTGAATTGAAATCTGACTGCACATAACTTCCACCATGTGATGCTGACTTCACCAGGCTACTTCCAGTGCTACATGACAACATTTTGAATCCTTTCGAGCAATAGTCATGTACTATCATTCTGTCTTCTCTTATCCAAGCTAAATAAGCCTAGCAACCATTCCTCATCTAACATTAGTAGATGGCAGACTCCTACTTCACTAAGAAAATTGAGACTTTCTGATGTAAGCTGCCTCCTCTCTTCCATTCTTCAAAACTTCTCAGTTTAACCTGTTTTCTTCTTTCTTCTGGTTACAGAAGAACTGTCCACTCTTTATTAAACCTAATCCCTCTGTGTATGCTTTCTGTCCAATACCATCCTTCTTCTTTCAGGACCTGGTTCCAGCAGTTATCCTCTCATGCATCTTCAGTATCTTTTCCACCTACCTACAAATTGGTCGGATCTCAGTCCAAAAAGAAACAAAGAAAAGGCCTTCTCCTTAATCGTTTTAGCCCATCCAGCAACTATCCCATATCAGTGCTTTCCTTAACTGCCAAACTTATCAAAAAGGTGCCTACACACAATTTCAATATCTCCTCACCATCCAGTCTCTCCTTAGCCCATGATAATCTGACTTCCATCTCCACCATTCAATTGAAACTGCTTTCACTTTTCAACATTGTTCTCTTCCCTGAGGCAGTTGATGCCGTTGCTAGATATTGTCTCCTCCCTTGGTCTCAGAAACAAAATCTCCAAGATTTTCTTCCTATGTAAATGACAGCTTTTATTATTATTATAGCCAATGTTCCCCAGACCACCAGACCTGCTTCTAGCCCAGTCCCTGCAGCCATCACTGAGGGAGAAATTGTTGTAGAGGAACCCACTTTCCTCATCACCACCACCAACAGCTGACCAAGTGCCAACCACCTAGGCACAAGTACCCCTGAGAGTGGTAGTACCACATAGATGACTGGTCCTGTTTCTATCCTACCTCTCACAGCTATCATCTGAGGGAATAACACTGATGAAAAAAGGGCCAGCCCTACCGACCAAATGCCAACTAACTGCCACCCACAGGTGAGGCAGGCCAGCCTAGCTAAAGCAGCAATGCACCTCAAAGAGACAGGAAGCAGTATGTGGCGGGGAAGTCAAACCACCACTACCACCTTGACCACCATCTCCCCTTAGATCCAGATAGAGACAGCCCTGACTCTGAGCCCAAGAGCCCTGGGACTAGCAATGCTTCCAGCCCAATGTCTGCAGCCATCATCCTAGAAAGTAGCCTCTGTGGAAATGCAGCCTGGCAACTGCTCCTGAAAGTGCTCCAGACACGACTACTGAAGTCCCAGAAAAGAAAGTTCTTGCCATCAAAGTCCTTGGCTCTGTCACATAGTTCAGCATCAGAAACTGATGTGGTTTTATCAGGGGAGATGGCATTAAACAAGAGGCATTGTAGTCTACTTTGTCTCTGTACCCTTAGGACCACAGGACCTTGTCATCTGACTTATAGCTGAAATCTTCCCTATGTGTTGTTTCCCTCATTAGAATATGAGCAACTTGTGGGCAAGGACTGTCTTGCTTTATTTGTATCCCCAGCACTTAGACATTGCTTTGCACATTGTAAGTGCTTAATAAATCATTGATTCCATCATTCATTTTAATAACCTTGGGATGGAGGATAGGAGGGTGATCTCTATACTCCACAAAGTTCTGCAACAATGATTTATCATAACATGTAGATGACTCTGAGTTCCCAAAGGCCATACCATTGGAATGCCAACTCTAGCAAGTTCCGCCATGCTAGAAAGGTTGAAAGTATGATCCTGGTGATAGACTATCCCTGCTTTCTAATGACCAGCCTAGCTAAGTATAAAGAAGCTTCTTAGAAGGAGTCACCTTTTTTAAAAAAATTATTTTTATCTTCAATTCCAAATTCTCTCTCTTCCTTCAACCCCTTCTACCTATTGAGAAGGCAAGAAATGATATGCATTATATCTATGAAGTCATGCAAAATATACTTAGACATTTGCCATGGGTTGGGGAAGGGAGGGTAGAGGGGAGACAAGAAAAATAAAGGAAGAGAAAAAATATGCTTCCATCTGTGATCTGAGTATCAGTCATCTATCTGGAGGTGAAAAACACTTTTCATCATGAGTCATTTGGAATTGTCTTAGATCATTATGCTTAGTTCAAGTCTAGGTTCCTGGTAAGGAACCTGTAGCTTTTAATTTACCCAGAGCCCTCTGTGATTTTTTAAAAAATTAATAGGAGTCTCATATAACTTAGTCAAGTTTCCCATTTTAACACACTAATTTAAAAGTTATTTTATAATTAACTAGTGCTTAACTGTAGTCTGTAAAATTCCCTAAATTCTAGTGAGATATTCCAATCAGATTCAATTATTTTTGGTTGCATCCCAACTCACACAAATGTTTTCTCTTTCTGTGACCCAAGGAAGGGTTAAGTGATAGTCCTGTTCCAAATTGCAGCCTTGAAACCTGCCTCTCTTTGATCAGTGAAGAGACCCTTTTTCTCTTAGATAGGTCTGAGGGGAGAAGTTTCCTCCTTCCTCTTTTTTCAGTCTGCCCCTCTACCTCCAGAACTTGGCCAGAGTTTAAGGAAGTAGAGAGCAAGAGAGATGTTTGTTTTTTTGTTTGTTTTTTTTTTTCCCCAACAATCTTTCTTTAAAAGACCATCAATCTTTCCAGCCCAGGTACAATTTTTTCTTCTTTGACTGGCTACATTTTCAGTCTTACAAGGTGGCAGATTCAGAGATTTCTGCACAGACACAGAGCAGACAAATACAAACAGAAAGCACAGATAGTAATAATTTTTCTTGATCCTATAGATTATACTGAGACCAGGCTACAGTTTAGTAGTCCCATGGGATGGGAGCTGGGACTGAATGCCAGTAAGCCTAAGGAAATCCCCCCTAAAGCAACA